TGGACTCAGTCAAAAGGCTGCACCCCAGGACCTGTGGCCTTCCCCACCGACCATTTTCCCTTTGGTTATTTGCAGGGCACAGAAAGCACTAGAGGATAATAGGGGAGCAAACCTATCTCAGCAATTGTAGGGTTCTTCCCTTCACTCTACCTTTTTCCTTCTTTCAGACTTTTGTGGGGAGGGAAGACATGATTACTGTCTTCAAGTACTGTCATTTGAAAGAGGGATTAGACCTCCTTTGTTTAGCCCTAGAGAGTAGAACTAGGAGCAAAGAAAGGAAGAAAGTTGCAAAGAAAACAATATAGGCACTTTCTAGAGCTGTCCAAACTGGTTAGAGTTGGTGGGACCCATGTCATTGGAGGTCTTCAGGTGAAATTTGGATAACCACTTGTAGGGTTAGGGTCTGTTGTAGAGGGAATTCTTCTGAAGGTTTGGGTTGGACTTCATGGTTGCTGGAGGCCCTTCAAGCTAAGAAGTTTCGCGATTCTGTGGGACTGCTTTCCACAGAGGAGACACTTAATACACTGAAAGGAGGAAAATGTACCTGTGAAAATGCTCCAACGCCCCTGCAGGTCAGTGTGTTCCGCTTTAGCCCTGGGAATCTGAAGCAATCCCAAGAAGTTTGGTTTTGGTTTGGCTTGGTTCTCTGTATTTGGGAAGCCTCAGCTTCCATCCAGGATCAGCCTTACAGTTTGAGTCCACAAAGAGGGTAAAGGGAATCAGTTCCCTGGGAAGTGGATCCCAAGCTCTCTCATTGGGCCCTCAACTGCTCCAGAGGAACAGAACTAGGAATGACAAGACATTTGCAGACTCTTTCAGTTCCTACAGGTGGGCTCCCCCAGGAGGAAAATTTAACTGGAAAGGAATCTTTTTTTCCCCCTAAAGGATGGGTCAAAGTGGCATATGCATAAGGCACTCCATGTGGGGTTATGGTAGTGAGGTGGGGTGGAGAGAGGAAAAGAGAAGAGATTCTACCGAAATGTCTGAAAAGAATTGGTTGGGGATCCAAGATTTAGGAAACGCTGGTGCCACTCCTGAAGAAGTAAAGGTTGATGACTGGGTCTGAGGAGTCGGGCTGTCGTTGCGGAGGGAGAGAGTGGTGCGCTTGTGGGGAAAGAGAAGAGCAGTACTCGGGTTGGACAGAGCCGAGAGAACACCCAGGTGTGCCAGTGCAGCTCCCTCGATGCCCACCCCTGCCCCACCCCGGCTGTTCCAACCTCAGGGCAGCTCCTGGGCCCTGCTCCTCCCCCTCTCCCCTCTCCCCCCTCCCCACCATGAAGCAACTGGCTTACATTACCCCTGACAGCTCCGGAGCCCAGCCCAGCCCCCTCCCACAACTCCCTGCCATTCCCTTTTATGGAGAGAAAGAGAGAAGGGGGGGGAGGCCCCGGGGGAGGGAGAAACTGAGTGGGCAGCGAAGAGCTAAGAGTATTTCAAGAAGCCTCTTCCCTAGCTTATGACCTCTCTAGCCTCAGAGACACCCAAGACACGGCTCATTTCCTCTGGGTCCAAGTCTCATCCTCTCCCCAGCCCCTCCTCTTACTGGGAACCCGGGACTCTTCTTTCGAGGCTCGGCCCTCCCCCCACCCACATCCGGGGGGTGATTTCCCATTTGACCAAAGAGCCAAGATTTGAGGTCTGGATTCCGGGAGGGTGGCCCGCCCGCCCCCAAACCCTATCTCTCTGGGGTGGAGGAACGATGGGGGGGGATTTCTTGATCGCCCTACCCTTGAACCCTTCCCCAGCCAGGGCAGGCATTGGGCAGATCTCAGACACTCCCCCATCCCCCCTTTTTCTTTTTTTTAGGATCAGAGGACAAAAGGCTGGGAAGCGCTCCTTGGGCTGGCGGGAGGGAAGACCTTTTTTCCCATTGAAATCTCAGCCTCATCTCCCAGCTCTGGCCCGTGTGCTCCGACGCTCACTCTCCTGCCCCAGGGAGGAACGGTCTCGAACCCAGGACCTAGAGGAGTGCAGCAACGAAGTAGGGCGGCTTGGCAAAGCCCAAGAGGAAACACCTGGCGGGAAGCGGGCGGGGGCAGCGGCCCAGGGGGCCCCAACAGGAAAGGGGGGACGCTGGGTGGGGAGGGCGCAGAGGTCAGGCTAACCACTTCCCCGAGCCCGGGGTGCACTCTCTGGCCAACCCAGATATTGGCTCCTCGGTGTCGGGAAGAGGCTTCCCCCGCCTGCCCGTCTTCCTGACCTTTGCAGCTAGGGCTCTAGTCAGCTGTTGCCAGCTGTGTGGAGTCAAGCTCGGCTAGCCGAGCTGTCTCGGGGCTGAAGGCGGGAAGTAGGCAGGGCTGGGACGGGTGTGTACCTCCGTGTGTGTATGGAGGAGGCTGGGCTCATTGGGAGTGGGGTGTCTGTAGTTGTAGGAGGCTGGCCTCAGAGGGACTGTCAATGTATCTATTTGTGGGTGTGAAAGGCTGGATTCAGTAGGTGTGTGTTGGGATGTAAATATAGGAAGCTGGTCTCTGAGATGTCATTGTGATAGTAACAGTTTGAGTTATAAGGTGAGTTTTGCCTTGAATGTATTCTCACATCACCAAGCTGTTAAGGCATGTCCTGATTTCTCTTGGTTTCAGTATTTCCACCTTATCTGCACAGACACTGTACATCAAAACAGTGTTTATGTTGCTATTATCTTGAAAAGCTTTAGAATTGAGAACCTTGGCTAAGCTGCCATTTTTCTCCAATGAAATCAGTGAATGTCAGCTGAAAGGGATCTTGCAGGCCCTTTAATCCAAGCTATACCTGATCAAGAATCCCAATATGTGGTTTTCTAGCCCTTGCTTGCAAGGTCCCCCCTCCCCCAACTTACTCAGGCAGCCCATCTGAATCACTTTGGGACCTTGTATGGTTTGTTTTCCTTTTTGAAACTTCCTCTCACTTTGATGTAAGAGTAATGAACTCTCCTGGCAATGTTGACTAAAATCCAGGTTTATGTTAAGTGGCCATGTGCATGTTAGGTTTCATCTTTTTCCCCTGGTGTGGTGGAAAGCACCCTAGATTTAGAGACAGCACCTGGATTTGAGTCCCAACTCAAACACTGTGAACACCCAAGTGACCAGGTCATTCCTATCCTATGCTCAGAAAACTTCTGTAGCTCTAAGTGTCTACTAAATAATGACCTTAACCTCAAAACGCCTTAGCTTGGCATTCCAGGACACTGTGGGAGCCAGTATCCTCCTTTGTGAAATAGAAATAAATAATACTGGCATCACCTAACTCAAGATTGCAATGAGGAAAGTGCTTTTGTAAACCTTGGTTCTGTCTCCTCCTTGCTTCTACCCCTGTATCAGTTGTATATTTTAGTCTAAATAGCCTACATATTGCTCCTCATACATGATATTGCATCTCTAGCCTCCAAGACTCTGAACAGGCTGCCACCCACCCTCTCTTTTCCTCCACCTCTCCCTTCTAATGAGGCCTTCCGTGACCCTCCTAACTACAAGTGTGTATATGAAGGCGTCTAGGTTCTCAAGTGGGATGCCTGTGCAGGAGGTAACGCTCTGGAGGGAGGTGTGCAGGTAGCTGGGCTATCGTGTGTGTGTGTGTGTGTGTGTGTGTGTGTGTGTGTGTGTGTGTGTG